TAGTTAATAAATAAAAATTGTATATATTTACAGTGTATGTGATATTTTATACATGCATACATTATAAAATAGTTAAATCAAGCTAACATACCTATCATCTCGCACACTTAAATGTATCCTGACACTTAATAAGAAATAAAAAGCTAATTTGTACTTTTACTTTATATTTTAAAATAATTTCAGACAGAGAAAAGTTGCAAGAGTGTTCCCATACACTCTTTACCCATCTTCCCCTAATGTTAACATCTTACATAACCAAAGTACAATTATCAAAACTGGGTAATTAGGTAATACATACAATACTATTAACAATACTATTAACTAATTAAAGATCCTATTTCGCCAATTTTACCAATAATGTCCTTTTTACAGTCCAGGATCCAATCAAGGATTCCACACTACATTCAGGTGTTTTATCCCTTAGTCTTCCCCAATCTGCAATAGTTCCTAAATCTCTCTTGTCTTTCATGACCTTGACATACTTGATAACACTGGCTGGTTAATCTGTGCTTGTTTAAGGTTTTCTCCTGATTAGACTGAAGTTAAGCATTTATGGCAAGAATTCTACGGGAATGATCACGTGTTTATCAGTGCATCACATCAAGCACAAAATGTTTTACTTTTTTGAATGAGGTATGATTTAACAAAAGTTTTGTATATCCAAATACTTATTAAATTTTTTATTTTTAATTATTATGGGTACATAAGAGTTATATATCCAAATACTTGTTAAATACTTGGTATATAACACCTGCTGTTTTCATCAACATGTTCTAAAATTCTTATAATAGTTAACAGCATAATTAAAGTTGTGTTTGTTTTGAATTTTAAGAAATATCAATTAGACAAGAACTTCGAAAGAAAATTATAGAGCTTAGAAAGTCAGTATTTCTAAGAATGTAAGTTCCATGCAAGCAAGAATTTAATTTTGTTCACTGTTATATCAGTAAACATTGAAAAGTGCCTGCCACTCAACATTTGTTATATAAAGGGAATAAATTTTGAAAAAACAAAACACCAGTAAATTCACAAAATGATTTTATCAAGTCTGTTAGTGTGGAAAAAAGTTCAACCATTAAAAACATAGCTTTTATGCTATTTATACACCTGTTTACAAGAGCCTATTTCCAATCTCCCTAAAATTATTGGCTAGCCATGCAGTGTTAGTGCTTCCAGGTATCACATAACGTAAGTTTCCCAGGCAGTTTCAGCTGCTACAATCCCAGATTTAGGCAGTCACACATACACCCCGGCAACGAGCAGGACTGCCAGGCAAAACAGGCAATTAAACACGAGAGTTCCACATATGCCACCACCACCTTGGACCTCTCCTCCATGACACACTTCAAAAATAACTTTCATAAAGAAAAGTAATAATGCCACAGGTTCTATTATCAGCTATCTTGGTAGGTGCCTGATCTACCAAAGCCACAAAAACCATTTGCTTTGAAGTGGATCACTCCTAAAAGTAAACTTTACAGTAGGATCAAAACGTGCTTACTGCCCAGGGACAGTGGCTCATGCCTGTAATCCTAGCACTCTGGGAGGCTGAGGAGGGTGGATTGTTTGAGCTCCGGAGTTCGAGACCAGCCTGAGCAAGGGTGAGACCCCATCTCTACTAAAAATAGAAAGAAATTAGCTGGAAAACTAAAAAATATATA